ATAGAGATTCCTCAGAAACTTGGAAAGGAACCACCATTTGACCCATCTATCCACTCCTTGATTTATACCCAAAGGACTTAAAATCAGCAAACTACAGTAACTCAAACACATCAATGTTTATAGCAGCTCAGTTCACAATAGTTAAACTATGGCACCAACATTGATGCCGTTCAACAAATGAATGGATAAAGAAAAAGTGGTACCTACACAATGGAATATTACTCAGCCTTAAAGAAGAATAAAATTATGGCACTTGCAGGTAAATGGATGGAACTAGAGAATATCATGCTAAGCGAAATAAGCCAGTCCCCCCAAACCAAAAGCTGAATGGTTTCTCTAATAAGTGGATGCTGATCCACAATGGGTGGGGGGTAGGGAAGAATGAAGGAACTTTGGTTTGTGCAGAGGGGAGGACGGTAGAATGAGACAGACAGTATTASCCATATATATGTATGATCATACCACTGGAGTGACTCTGCACCATGTGGAGCCAGAGGAACGAGAAGTTGTGTACAGTGTGTCCAAATGMACTCTACTATAAAAACAAACAAACAGAAAAACTTATGGCGATCTCCCATTTATGCTAGTGTGCTTGTTGTAATCATGTCACTCCATTCAATTTCCTGTAAATCCATGAAATTGGAATGCAAAAACACTTGCTGTTTCCATGAAAACAGCGSGGCGCTTTGGACAGCCCGGCTGAAGGCAGGTACCTGGGAAGTGCTGGCGATTCCCACAGCTACAAGTCYTGGATCACAGACACACAGCACAATGCTGCAGGCTGCTCCCCTGGAGCTCTTCAGTCTCACTCCACTTTACAGACCCAAGACTGAGAATGCACCTGACATCTCGGTGTGTGGGTTGTGCGTGCAAGTGCTGAGGCATTCAGATGGGGGATTCAGCTTGAAATAAAAGGATTTGCTTCATATTTTTAAAAAGGCTGTTGGGTCATGCGGCCTTCAAGGGAGGAAACAAATCACTCCAGGTATCTCAAATAGAAAGGAATTTTTAAAAATATGGTGTTGGGTGTGGTGGCCATGCCTGTAGTCCCAGCAGCTCAGGAGGCTGAGGCAGGAAGATCTTGAGTTCAAAGCCAGTCTCAGCAAAAGAGAGGTGATTAGCAATTCAGTGAGACTGTCTCTCTAAATAAAATACAAAATAGGGCTGGGATGTGGCTCAGTGGTGGAGTGCCCCAGGTTTCAATCCCTGGTACCCCCCCCCAAAAAAATAAGTAGAAAATATGATGCTAGGGATCAAACTCCAGGCCTTGTGGCACATGCCAAGCACACGCCTTGTCATGCAGCCACATCCCCAGCCCCGAGGAGTTTCACACAGGTTGGGTCCTAAGTGTGAAGACCCCCATGGTGGCTGCGATCCCCTGGCTGTCAGGGGACTGCTCCTGACCYCTGTGACCTGTTCCACATGATGAAACTATGCCCAGTCCCTGCCAGCCCACGCACCTGCCTGAACCCTCTGTCCTCTGCTTAATTGGTGAAACCTAATTTCCATCAAGCCCTAGCTATAAAAGAGACTGGGAAATCTAGGTCTTTTTAGTTTTCCGACCTCCCTGGAGAGAAAATGGGTGAAATGAAAGTTGAAAGATCCTCTAGTTACAAATGGCAAATGAATTAATATTCTTTTATGTATTTAAATAAAAATGGCTTAAAGTAGCAGACTCTCTAGTAATAGCAGTGTTTTATTCTCAGCTTTAACCAACATTTTGTTATTAATGATCAGGTCCAAATGCACCAGTGATAAGGCCTTACCAGAATTTCCAAGTGTGCAAGAATCTGGGCTGATAACTGGGTGAGCCACGGGGAAGGGCACAGTGAGGGGAGGGAGGATTTCACTGGGAGGCTGGTGGGAGAGTTGAACTGCTGCTCAGTAAGAAGCCAGTCAAAGCCACGCTGTCTTCCCCTTGCCACTGGTGAAGGACTCTTTTGGAACGGATGCCTGGGGCACCCTGTCTCCAGAGTGTCCCTTGCCTGGCTCCTTCTGTCAACTGTGTTTGTCTCACAGACACAGAAAGTACCTACTGTGCATCATGCTGGGAGCTGAAGCCCCACTGTGCAGCTCACGGTCTCATATCCCTTACTTCTAGAACAGGGCTCAGCACAAATCCGGGGCTAAATAAATATCTGCCAAATGAACAAATGGATGAGTGTACCTAACTRATAGAAAACCAAGTCTCAGAGAGTCACAGACCTCCCTGAAATGGCTCCCCTGGGCTTAGGGCAGCCGAGGCCCCGCCCCGGCCAGACCTCCCCACACCCTCTGCTAGGGAAGGGTTCTGTGGGCTGGTCAGTTGTGCCTGGGGCAGTGTTTCAGGT